ATTAAGTTTCTACAACTTGTAATGAGAGACGAATTGCATGTTGAGGCGACGGCTCTTTATCAACGTATAGATATTTCACGAGACTAACACATCTAAATTATAAATGTAAACCGTGGTATTTTGTCGCGGTTACATCTCGTTTACGCACCGCGCTTTTAATTATCTATCGATTTCGTTTCAAGGATTAGATTAAATGACAAAGATTGTAAAATATCGTTTCGTTACGGACTAATAACTACTTCTTTACCGCAGATTATGCTTCCGATGCTTGTGTTGCCTTTTATATCGCCAATTCAAAAGTGATTGATCCATTCTTCCGAATCAAAAATGCAAGTTGTTAATTTGAGTAATTTGTATGATAGAAAGATATCACGAGATACCTATTTGTTAATGGCATTTCGTGCGTTTCGCGGTATTTCACATCGCGTACGGGAGTGCCGGAAATTTCGCGCGATCGATGATTTTCGCGAGTGTTACATATGTGAGTGCAACGAGGAAATCTGAAAGGAGGAGGAGGCCTGAAAGGCATCGGGCAACGGCGGAGAAATCGTAAGATAAGTGTCTTACATTTTGATTTATTTGCTACTTGTGCAAAATAAAACATCTGTTCTGTGTTTGTTTTTATTTAGTCAAATGATTCGAACGAGAATTCGAATAAGTGTTAGAGACAAAACCATACGTATTAAATTTTGTCAGTTTATATTTAAAAGGAAGACTTTTTCAGCATTCTATATAATTATTTTAATAAATGCCTATTTTTTAAATATAAAATATAAAGTATATTTGATACAATAATTTCAATGTTACATAATTAGTCTATAATCATATGCATATTTGTATTGTTACAGTTTGACATATATACCTAGTTGACGAGGTACAACTGTGCTATTGCGAGTCGTATCAGTGAGTGAAAAATTACTTTTTATTTTAAATTAACGTTGCGCATACAATTACCTCTCTTTGCATGTATACAAATTCTTAAAAATATACAATGCTGAACTACAAACTGCGCGCGCGAAACGCGCGTTTTGTCATTTCTAGTAAACTATAAAAGTGATATGAGGAAACAATATACATATTACAAACATAATTGTATCAATATTTTAAAATAATATTGCTACAACATTACTAAAGTAATATTGTAAAATAAAGTCTCTGCAATATCTATGTGATTGACTTTTAGAGAAAAAGGGCCTGAGGAGAACGGCTGTCTTGTATTCTTAAGACAACGTTTTACCATATGTTTTAAATCTTTGTCTTTACTCTTGTGACTTAAGAATACAAGACAGCCATTTTGCTCAGGCCCTAAATTAGAAGAAACAATTGGTCCGTGCAGAGCGAGGATTGTAACTAATGCGTACCAATTATACAATATTGAGAAAACATACTTGTCTCTGCGAGTATTTTCAGAATACTGTTACCGAGACCGTAATCGCCAACACCGCACGTCCATTGATGTATTTAAAACAAACGTATTCGCGGCACTAACTTTCGCGATAAAGCGTATATGGCACCGACATGTTTATCCAGCGTCCAGAACTGCCCGTTGCTTCATCTTTGAAGTATATTGCGACGAAGAGATCTTCTCAGAAAGCGTCCGCCTTTATGACACACTTTTTCGCACTTATCTCCCGATGTCCCGAGCGATCTATTCTCATCACCTCGTTTCGCAACGAAAGGCTTTGACGAGTTCGCACTTGTCAATCCGTTATTAATCACGAACGCCTTTCATCGCGGAGCAGACAGCCGACTTACATGTATTTCTTCCACAGTTCGTTACTTATTCGTAATAAAGTGGAACGCGTTTTATCTCGGAGCAGTGCATTTTAAAATCGCCGTACTTAGACCCGGTTTCACCGAACGTCGTTCAACTTTAATCTTAAGTTTAACCCTAGTAGCACAGTGCATTGGCTAAACGTTGGCTCACAACACAACCAAATATTGGGCCAATGTTTAACCAATGTTCAATGCACTGTGCTACTAAGGAATTCACGTTTGTCTCTTTCTAAAGTGACAGAAAGAAACCAAGAATGACTTAAGCTACACGGAGAGGCTTTTCTCTTGAAATTCATCCTGAAAATCGTGTAATCGTGGGACAACGTGGCTGAACAACTTAATGGGAGCTCTTTGAAAGTTTACCATACATTTTACCAGTAAAAAGTATACCAAGTATAATTACCAGTGAAATGTATGGTAAAATTTCATAAAACTCTCGTAAAACTCTTTGAAATGCCGTGTTGTTCCACGATTACAATATTTTCAGGACAAATTTTAACAGAAAATTCTCTTCGTGTAAGCTTAAAGTAAAGCGACGTTGGTGAAACCAGGCCTTAGTTTGCACACGCAGCAAGATTCAACTTTGAAAATAAAAGATAACGTTGATCATTGAAATCTGATTTGCAGGGAAAAGAATATATCCCCAAGATGAAGAAATAATTTTAAAGGCAAAAATTTACATTTTCTCGGTGACAGAAAAATTCATTTAAAAGAGTGTAATAAAAACGAAGAGCAATCATACTGAAATATACAAATAATGGGTTCAGTTTCCGCTTCCCATCCTTGGGCCGAAAAAATTTGGACTAGCAGCAGTTTTTACTATTTTAATTTCGAAAAAATGGCGATGGGAACAGGATTAGATAACTATAATGCGGTGCGTCAATTAGGCGTCTCTGCTATCGGAAATTCCCTTGCATTTTATGATTTAATTTCTTGGGCATTTTAAATAAAATCGAAGCAGCTCGAGCCGAGCAATTACGCGCGGCGAGCTACACGGCGGATCCCGACGTTGTCATTAAAGTGCGAAACTGGGGCAGCGTTTTGCCACTAATACCGCACACGGTGCCATTGTCTCGTCATATTACATTGCCGCCTCGTTGCAGCAAGCCCGTGCAACGCGATACCGGCGTGGCGTGCGCGAGATAACCAGGAGGACTTGGCAAATTCGACGAGGCGCACGCGGCGCGAGGGATATCTCACAGGCGCGAAACGCGCACGGCGGGAATGCGGACGGGCACTCGTATACATTAAATGTATTTGGGATTCGAGAAACGGGACGTTGACCCGACTCCCGTGTTCTCTCTCGCGTGTCTCTCTCAAGGTGTGCTCACGCCGCCGGGGGGCACGATAACTCGTTCGTTCGCGCAATAGATGCACTTTTTCGAAAAAAAAAAGAAAAAGATTAATTCGCGAATCGTATTGTAATACCAGCTATTGAGTCTTTAACTTGTGCGAAGAAATGCACTTCTCAATATATAATCCAATATTCCAACGGCTCTCTTAATAAGGAGCCATTCCACGGTCCAAAAACTATGCTTATCTTTAACCATTTTTTTCGCAGTGAATACACCATACGATGGAATAAATATTTGTAAAATACGGACAGCTAATATTTATAGAGGAAGTGCCCTATTATGAGATAGTGTGGTTTCTGCTAAATTAATAGACGTTTGTTGGCTTCGTCATAAATTTATTGCCCTTGGAGTAAGATCTGTTTAGTGAAAAATTCGTTGTTAGATCGTGTAACCGTTGCGAGGAAAGAGTTGCGATTGAATTTGGATGTTGAAAACCTGCTATCTTATATTAGAAGCCTATTTCATAATAGAGGACTTTCCTCTAGTTCTGATAGCTAAATATTTTGTTACTATGCCTATTGTATTAGGTGCGACAGCAAGCCGCCTGCCGTGATTTAGAAGTTTATAGTTATGGCAGCGAAATATATATTTTTAGCAAACTATGATTAGCTACGGTAGCAAATATTTTTTTTCAGTGCGTTATTTACGTACTGGAAAATGCATATTGTACGTGTATGAGATTGTAAAACGATGTTGATTAGAAAAAGAGGGGGTAGGCGAATGCGCTTAAAAGTGTTAAAGTACAGGACGGCTACGGGAAAAGATTGATGCTCGCGCCGAGAAACCTTGATCGCGTTATTGCGAGAGATGAAAACGGGATGGCCGAGGAACAAATTTCCCAACAGAATGCCCGCGGTGGATTGTCCTCGAAGATCTGCCTGATATCGCATTTGGATATCCGCCAATCGGCTATTTTCGTTCTTGAAGAAAACGCGAGCCTTGTATAATTCTAATAAGAATAATGCTTGGGAGCGCGATGCGAAGTTACTATTTATAGCTGAATCTAAACGCGGTCGCTTAGTTCTTTAAAAGGCACCCGCGATCGATTTGGTAATTTTTATTTTAGCGCAGCAGTAATTTTACTTTTCAAGTGCCCGGCCTGTGACGAAACGACAGACGCGCCGGGAGACTTTGAACTCCTCTGAACGTATCTCGACGGGCGGTATTTTTAAGAATTGTGTGACACGCGACATCATTATCGACTGCAAAACTATTGGCTGTTTCATTACACTTGCTCTTTTGGGAAGTAGTTTATAGAATAACAACTCTATTGTCGGATAATTGGAAGTCACCCTAAGCAGTAAAATGGAAATCGATTGAGTTTATTTGGATCTAATTTCTCGCCTTCGAGCGAAAGTGGCCCGCGAGGAAGAGAAAACTTTTCCGGAAGCAATTAATTACGACAGAACGCCGTGCGTCTATCTTAGCCATTTGTTCCGTAGATGTCCTGTTACTCTAAGAGAGTGGAAAACCGTGCCACCTTTATTGTCTCAAGAAAAGAAAAAACATTCCCTTCCTTAGCTCCACCCTCAAGGGGCGAATCCGTAAAGACCGCGGGAAATCACTTCGAGATTTCGCCTTTTCTCCCGTTTGTTCCTTTTATGGTGAACCAAGCGGCCGTTCTTCCGCATACGTCAGCACGTCGTGGTCTCGATGGCCGAAACCCGGTGTACCTTTGAGCGGCGTTTGGACCGGGCGGCACTGTCTCCCCCCCCCTCCCCCTTCCTCCCTCGGCTCTTCGAATTCGAAGGTTAAACGCAAAAAAGCGACGACGACATCCACGACGGCCGCCGGGACCACTGGCTTCCGGCCAGAGTTTCGGCTTTCGTCGTCTCGCCACCAGGTAGCGATGGCTACGGACTATTTAAGCGAATTTCGCGGTCGCTCGGTGCTTCGTTTTGTTGAGCAGCGCAGGCGTTGCCCCTTTTTGAATGTTTGTTTGTTTCGCAACCCTATTACTCGTCGCGCAAACGACTCTCCTGCACGTCGTAGAGGTCCCAGTCGAGAGCGGCCCGTCGACGACAATGCGCACCGAGGAGTAGTGGACCGGAGGGAAGGAAGAAAGAAAAAGGAGAAAACGCGGGAGAGAGAGAGCAGTGTGAAAGGTTCCCACGGGGGTGGTCCACACCCCCCCGCAGCGCTTCCAAGTGCAAAAGTTGAAGGACTGAAGGCAGAGGCACTGGTAAGTCCCCTCGCGCCGACGCGACCATGGTGTGCAGTTGCATAGTGCTCTTCGTGTGACCACGCGTAGTGACGGAGCCTCCGTTTCCGGAGTGGAGAACGCGGGAGAGAAGGGAGCGCAAGTGTAGTGAGATAGAGAAGCCAAGAAGGATTAGTGAGGTTTTATTATCGTGATATCGATATCTGATTACCGTGAATGCCCTTCCCGATTGATGCGTTGGAGAACGCAGCTCCGTGGTGGAAATTGCCACATTTCGACGCCGGGACTTAATCGCGAGGGTCAGAAATTGGTAAACGCGATAGTGGTTAATAGAAAGCCGTTCTTGTCTTGACCTAAGCTCATTCTACAATGGACGCAAAACTCAAGACGCTAAGCCGCAACGCGAGAAATCGACCGATCACAGTCCAATGTGAGACGAACGATCAACTGTCACTGGCCCGACTTTTTGCATTGCGGCTTAGCGTTTTGCGTTTTGCGTCCGTTGTAGAATAAGCTTAATGCCCGTATCAGACTAGCGACTCGCGGCTGCGATTACATCGGCGATTGGCTATTTCAAATTTTAATGGCTGCCTAGCCAATCACAGTCGCAGATGTAATCGCAGTCGCGAGTCGCTAGTGTGATACGAGCATCGGGCCGGTTCTACGTTGATCGTGTCGTAGCATCGCAAGCGTCGCAAATCATAGACTCGACCAATCAGCGTTAAACCAGTCTACGACCCTTGCGACACTACGACACGACCAACGTAGAACCGGCCTTAGGGCCTGTGTCCACGATGCTAGAACTTGCTCCAAGTTCTAGTCTCGAGAAGTGTGTAGCCAAGCAACCTGCAGCCATTCCATAAAAGCTCGACAGCTACACATTTCTCGAAACTAGGACTTGAACCAAGTTCTAGCGTCGCGGACGCAGGCCTTTGGAGTGGCGGCAGCTCGATCACTTTCAAACGGGCGAGAAGTACCTCGAGGATATTGTTTCGTCCTGTAGTGAATCTCGGAATCCGTTATGGAATCTCGTACGTTAATCCCGGAATGTTTCCTTCGTCTCGCAATATTCAGAGATTTGGGAAGTGCGCGTTTGCGAGTACAGTAACTTTCGAGAACGGAATAACTCCATCGTTACTTTATATATACAGCAGAGAGTATATAAAATTACACACGGTTTTACCGAAATCTCTTCTCAAACGACTAAGCCGGCAAAAAATACCTATAATCTGTTTGTTTCAATAAGCTTCAATAAACGTAAAATAGTTGAAACATAAAGAAACTGGCTCTCATTATAACTTTCATACTCGGCAATGGATCTTGGTCTTTTTTTTCCGTAAAAATAGTTTTTTTCCCCCGAGACAGCGCTACAAAGATACTTTATAGAGGCTTTCGATGAATATTTCACAAGCGATGTTGTTTCGCTGAATATTTCATAAGCGATATTGCATATCGCATTCGGAATGTATGAAAGTAATACGGCAAAATTGAATAAGAAAACACGTGTGTGGTTCACTCAAAGAAGCAAACGAAATGATTATCGACACAACGTAATCAAATCTGACTTTACCTCGTTTTAAATAAATAGGGAGGAAATCCTACAGGGATTACGTAATGAAAATTACGTGGAAACGAGCCTCGAGCCCGTTACATTACGTTGTTTCGGTGCGCGGCAGTGTAGGCGCGCGGTTGCATAATAAGCGCTTACGCGGCGAAATCCGCGGATTAAAAGCGTGTCGTTTCGCGGGGAAATGAAATGTTTTAACGCGCCGTAACGCTCGCGCGGAAAGGCCGCGCGCACGCGAAAACGGTTCGGGAAAGTCAATAAAAAAACCACCGTAAAGCCCGCTTAACGTCCCCCTCCGCCCCCGATCGCGCGTGAAACCGCGTAAAACCCTCGTCGACGAGTGTGCGTATTACGCGACCTATAATAACTAGAGCCAAGAATTCATTTTAGTTTTTGTAGGTCACCGCGCGCGCTCGCGTAAAACAATTTTCGCGGACCGAGAAATTATCCCGGCCCGACGCACGTCGCGGTAATTTGTGCAATCCTAAACTATAATTAAACGCGGTTATAGAACGCGGATTGCGCGCCGCGAGGGAGACATTCAATGAGAATGAGCCCGCGCGTTAACGAGGGACGACGCGTGTTTGCAGGGAGATACCTTTTCGTTCATCGCATGTTAGGCTTTGTATTGTCGGATAAGTGGGCGGCGATTCGAGAAATTTTAAGCAGAGCGAGATTTAGGCCGGCAGTCATAGTCAGATTTTATATTCAAGACCGTCTTGAAGTTATCTAAAGATGCTGTATGGAACATTTCACTGGCTACGCAGTACCTTAAGACGATCTTAACGGCCCTAGGATATTAAAAACTTTGAAATTAAAACAGACAGAACTCGGCGGCGATTTTTCTCCTGAGAATATATTCTACACATTAAAATGAACATAAAGTTACAGAAAACTCGGAGGAAAAGGCGTTATATTGCATATTTACCAGATCTTATATTCAAAACCGTCTTGAATTTATCTAAAGCTGCTGTATGGAACATTTCACTGGCAGTATCTAAAGATGATCTTAAGACTGTCTTGAATATAAGATTTGACTATGAATACCGGCCTAATGCTGAAACTTTAATACGGTGACATATCGACTGTTTTTTTTTCCTCCCTCTCGCGCGCGCACGCGCGCACTTCCAGTCCTCCGAGTAATTTCTGGTCGCTTGTTGCGCGCGACGCTATTTATAAAAATTTCAAAGGCACTTTGTTATCTTTGGCGACGGGTCCGCGGCAGAAATACGTGATGGGTGATTTCGTATCGCGGGGAATGCGCTAATGCGTGCACCGTCCCCGCAACGTGGCCGTCGGGTATCGAAACGCGCGCCCGCATTGCCATATGGTGCCACGTCACAATGGCATAACACAGATATATCGACATTGCGCCCGACATTGCAGGAAACGATCTGTCGAGCGGTGAATGGGTCAAGTCAATATTGCAGTTAGCTTCTTCGTAGAGCAGTCGCTTTTCACTCGAGAAACTGCGAGCCCATTCAGCCCAGTTTGCTCGACGGAGGCGCTTGTTAAAAGCATTCCTTATTTTCGTTAATTTCACAGGCGAGTTTAATTAACTCTATTAAGCGGCGCGAGACCGATCGTTCCAGAATACATAAGGAACCAGTGGCGCGAAGATGTAACGTCGATTTCCGACGTCTGGTATCGATAAACTTTAATGTACTCTCAAAGGATTTTCTTCCGAGAAAGAGTCCCGACTCGATTAATCGAGACGCGATCGTTTACGAAGCCCATCCAGCGAGAAATGAAGAAACTCGTCGATTGACGTCGAAACGATGTAGAATCGACATCGACCGACGAATCGTTTCTCGCTGGGAATTGCTTAGCGTAGCTGCGACTTCTTACGGGATAGGTTTGTCGCGGCGTCTTTCGAGAGTGGACGGTCCAACGGACCGAGCGGATCCCGCATCGCTTACGTGAGGCATTCGTCGCATATAATATCGGCGACCTCCACTTGTTTGCCAACAAGCGCGCTGCGTTTCTTATCCTTACCGCCCGTCCAACATGTTGTATCTCGTCTTCAAATAGATTCCACCAGTCCACTCACTCAAATCGTGACCGCGGGGTCTGCTTCTCCCCAGCTGCGCTTTCCGCGCTTTCCGTGCTCAAAATGGAACAAATGTGCGCTCGTGTCTCGGCGGAGGATCCAGACATCGTTACATAAAGCGGTCCGAGTGTTAATTTGTTTGATCTCAATCGCGGGCAGCGAGACATTTAGCTTTTATCACACTTTTACCGGTGAAAATAATCCCTGGAGCTTAAAAACATTTACTCCGTTTTTAGGAGTCGTTTCGTCTTACTATGAACTTAAATTACAGCCGCGAATATCCCCGCATTTTTCGTCGGTCTGACTAACTCGTTACTTCAATCACTTTTGGAACCCAAAATGTATCTGTGCCTCGACATGTTTTTTCGTTAGAGGTCAAAGCAACCGCGGATAGCGAGGAAGCTGATGCATTCTCTGTGACTTACGCAATTAGATTAGAGCAATATAGTCATGCGGTCTTAATTCAAAATGAATTTGTGCCTCGACTTTTCTTCGTTAAGGCTCAAAGCAATCGTGGACACCCTGTCGGAAATAATTCTACAAAATTCTACAAAAAAAAATTAAACTACCAGAATCTAAGAAATTCTACGTAAATTTAAAAAGTGTTATAAAAATCAACATGAAAATACTGGAACTGGAACACTTTTGTTAATTTTTGTAATATTCTACAAGTAAGCAGATGTTTTCTTTAAGATTTTGTTGTTTCTCAAATTTTTAAAACTTTGTACTAATCTTTACAAAATTGTACTTCATGAAATATGCAATAGTTTCTTGATTTGAGAACATTGTAACTTGTGGTACTATTTCGTCGATACTTTTACCAAAAAAAACTAGTGTTTCAACGAAGATATAAAAATTTCTACAAGTTTCTATTTCACGTCAATTTTTCGTAGTTATGTATAGAAATGTTTCCGCTAGGGTAGCGAGGAAGCTGATGCGTCCTCTGTGACTTACGCAATTAGATGGGAGCAATATAGTCGTGCGATCTCGTTGGGAAATGTAAAAGTTCAGCGTTGCTATTCAAAACGTTGCACGCTTGGACC